GTGGCTGGCCCAGCCTCAAACCGTGACACAGGCACAAGTAAATAAAAAAATTAATAAATATGAACTCTGTAAAGGCTCATAGGTTTTGGCTTATGGCCAGTGTTATACCATGGAGTGAGGGAAACGAATTAATGAATTTAATTTTACTTCAAGAAACTACTGAAAAATACTGGGAAAACCATTATTCAGTTATTATTCCTGCACTACTTGGAAACATTCTCTGTGAAAAATCCTGTAGATATTGCAATTAATCCTAACTATGTGAACACTGTCAGACATCATAGGATATGTAGCATGTACTTGCATCCTCCTGAACAATACTGAGCAATAGTAATTTAGAGTAATATTTCATAAAAGACTGTACTATGTGTTATAGACTATGGCCTGTTGAATTACCTGTAAAAGTCTATGTATAAAATAACTTTGTTAATTCAAGGAAAGTCGAACTTTTAATTTTATTTAACTTACTGAAAAGCACATCTCAGTATGGTCAGAATTACTATTACCTATGTATAAAATAAAAGCTTGAAATTCAACTTTCTGACATCTATTATTTTATTTTTCCATGTTTCTGCTTTTTTATACTACTTGTGAAGCTTTACACTGACTTAAAATGAAGATTAGGGAAGCTCAAGCAACATTATTTGGATTCAGAAATTATATCTCTTTAAAGTGAAGTACTATTTTAAACAATTTACAAAACACAATGCTTCACACAGATTAAGTGAAAACTAGAATGTACCTACTGTGATTGAGTTTATGGATTAGCTTTTTTTAGATGATACTTGCACACAGTGATCGTTGGTTCTAAATATCTTCATTTTATTGGATAGAAAAGTAAAGCAGAAACAATTGCAGAGGAAAACAACAGGCGACTAAAAGCTAAAGAAGAAGAGAAAGAACAGGAGCAATGGAAAGCCTTGTGTATACCAACTGAAAAGGAAATAAAAGCAAATCAGACTCTTGGAATAAATAAATTGGAGAAGTTTCTCAAGATCCTGAAAAGTAAATCTGTGAAGTTCAGCGTAGAGATAACAGCACTGTCTGCCTGTTTAGAAGTCTGGAAGGAGCACTGCAGAGAGCAAGGTATGGCAGCCGAATTCATGTTCAGTATTCAGCTTCCACTCCCTTTAACCAAGGGAGTGAGTGACTTTGGACGTTCTCAGCTGCTGTAAAGACATGTGAATACAGCCCTGTTTCAAGAGCATAAAAGGCGTTTTCAAGAATTAACAGGCTTTGGTCCTCTTTTGTAATTTCAAGATCCTTTGAGTCAGCTGTAAAGCATCCAAAGAAACAGGATTGTAGCTGTTTTCCTGTTTTGCTTTGCAAACATTGCATACATAATTTATTTTATTGTATATATGTTTAATAATTATGTATCATGCACACTAAAATGTATCTATATTGCATTGAATTGTCTAATTAGCTGAGGTGGTTAGCTCACAGACTGAATGATGACGATTTGCACAGAAATCTGTGCTACCACAGCCAAAGGCCTCCTGTTTCAACAGAATTACATGTTCAGTTCATACCCTCAGTCAGCAGAGTCCAAGCACACACTGCTCTAAATGTGATGAGGAGAGTTGAAAACTTCGGAGTGAAATATGTTGTGAATAAGGTTGAGTAACAAATGTGTGAGTCGGGAATGCGGAATGGGGGAGCTTGGTTAACACATAGATGTCAGAAGTAGGACTTCCTTTTACAGCTGAGTGTGCAGAAGCAGATAGCATTATTTGGCTGCTTGGTCTTCAGTGGCAATCCTTGTAGAGGTCACAGGAGTGTGGGTTGTCTTAATCTAGTTGTCTTTAAATAAAATTCATTTTTAAATTGTTATAAATGTGATTGGATGGATAAGATCTCTTCTAAAAGTACCTAATATCAGAAGATTTCCGATGATCCAATTTGCATTGAAATAACTGCAGGCTTTTGATTTTTAAAGGTAACAAATCTAAAGATTTAACCAAAGCTGTTCAACTTATGAGGAGAATTCATATCCTCCTTGAAAAGTATCAAGATCTCTTGAAGAAGCCACATGTACAAAAGCTGACCAGATATCTAAAACTTCTTGGATTTAAGAATTTGGCATGCTCTCTACCTGACCAGGTATAGACTGTAGTGATTCTGCTGTAACTAAATCTGTAGCTGAATATCAACAGTGTTTTCTTAAACATTGAATAGTGTATAGAAGATGTACATTGAGCTTATTTTATTTTGTGTTGTGCCATCAGATTTGGAACTATCTATTCTTTCTTCAGATACTAATCTTCTTTAGTTCCATGGATATTTTTCTCTGCTTGATGGCACAGTAGGCCACTTCCTCTTCAGTAAACAGAACTTTGTATGGCTGCAAAGATACCCTTTGAAACATGCCTCAAGATTAATTTGCTGTAGGTATGTCTGCCTGAGGCCTTGACGTCTCTGAGAGGTATCTGCTGTTCAATTCATCACATCATCTGAACTCTGCATGTTAAAAGTAACTGTTAAAAGCTAAGTGATAAGCAGCTGCTCTCTAACAGGCCCAAAGTTGCTACTTTAGAAAATAAAATTGCTTGTCCTTGCTAGCACAGCTGACACCACCAGTAGCTACACTGAATTTGGCTCTGAAGCAATTTCTCTAAGGATTTACCTTATACTTTTCTGTATGTTAGCAACCTACCCACTGGCTGATTTAATGTTATGAGGAGTTCGATACCTTCCTGTATAGATAGCATGTTATCAGGGAGAGGGGATGCTAAAGTGACTCTCGGGCCACTGCCAGAAGAGGGAGGATATAACTCACAGCCTGCAGAATATGAAGTCAATAGCAAAAGGAAGGAAGATTACAGTGAACTGTAAAACCAATATTAATTACTTCAGTGTCTCATTTTTCAGGCACAGTAGTTAGGAATTTCTGGAAGATTATTTCTGGAAAATATTTACCATCCTTCCTTGAGGATCAGGACTAAGAGGTGAGGGAGGACGTGATTGTTTTCTGAGAAATTTTCTTCCCTTGAAGAGTGAAAATTATTTGTCTCTTTTTCTATGTGAATTCAACTGGCCTATGAGATTGTTTGCTTTTGGCTACATAGATACTGTAAGGTTGCTTGTTCCCCAAATAGAGTATATTACATTACAGGACGCGGAGTTGTAAGATTCAAGGATCTCAAAAGGTCTGTTGTAAAGGTTTGTGGTGATAGAAGGGATATCTTGGCAAGTTTAATGTCTTGCTTAGAAGGGCTCTAGATCAGTCAGTGCATTTTGGACCTACTTTTGCTTTTACAGCTGCTTCTTTCTGATTATTACTTTTGCAAAGTTGGGGGAATTTTAGGAATAAATAACTGAAATTTTCAGGAATAACTGAAAATATTTCTTTCAAGAAATCGAAGAAGTGGTGAAATCTCCATCCTTGGAGATCGTAAAAACTCGACTGAACACGGCCCTGAGTAATCTGATCTAATTGCATTTGCTTCTAGCACTGAGTTGGATTCATTGACATTCAGACATCCCTGACAACTAAGCTCAGCTTGAACTGAAATTGGCCAGAGACGTCAGAAACTTCAAGAGTTCTTCAGACACATTAACAACAAGCAGAAACAGAAGGAGAGCATTGGCCCACTATTAAACAGGAAAGGTGAACTAGTCACCAGCAATGCTGAAAAGGCAGAAGTCCTCAACACCTCCTTCACCTCTGTCTTTAGCAGTGCTGTTGGGTCCCAGGCCACGAGAACAAAAATCCAGATTGATGCAGTCACAGACCCGCTGTCAGTGAAGGAAAAGTTCATGTGTTGACTGTTACAGGTGTTTGACCCATACAAATTGATGGGCCCAGATGCCATCCACCCAAGGATGTTGGGAGAGCTGTCTGATGTTGTTGCGAGGCCATTCTCCATAGTCTTTGAGAAGTCGTGGAGACTGGGAGACATGCCTGAAGACTGAAGGAGGGTTAATGTCACCCCTATCTACAAGAAGGGTTCCAGGGAGGACCCGGGTAATTATAGACCCATTAACCTCATATCAATCCCTGGGAAAGTTATGGAGCAAATCCTGCTGGGGACTATCACAAGTAAACTGAAGCATGTGTTTGGGCAAAGCCAACATGGATTCACCAGGGGCAAATCGTACTTAACAAACCTGATTGCCTTCAATGACAAAGTAACCTGGTTGGCTGATGCAGGGCAAATGGTGGACTTTGTTTACCTGGACTTCTCCAAGGCTTTTGACATGGTCTCCCACAGCCTCCTCCTTGAAAAACTGACACGTTACAACCTAGACAAGTGGTCTGTGCGGTGGGTGGGGAATTGGCTGACAGGCCGTACCCAGAGGGTGGAAGTAAATAGTCCATTCTCAAACTGGCAACCAATCACAAGTGGGGCCCCCCAGGGATCGGTATTGGGCCCAGTGCTGTTTAATATCTTCATAAATGATTTGGATGTTGGGATCAGGTGTACCCTGATGAAGTTTGCAGATGACACCAAAATGAGTCGGGTAGTTGACACTCTAGAAGGGAGAGCTACCCTCTAGGAAGACCTGGACAGGCTGGAGGAGTGGGCTAGCAGGAACCTTATGAAGTTCAACATGGACAAGTGTAAGGTCTTGCACCTGGGAATACTTAACCCAGGAATGCAGCTCAGACTGGGAACCACCTGGCTGGAGAGCAGCCCTGTGGAAAGGGACCTGGGAGTCTTGGTGGACAACAACTCAACGTGAGTGAACAGTGTGCTGCAGCGGCAAAGAAAGCCAACGGGATGCTGGGCTGCATTAGCAAGGGCATCACCAGCAGAGATAAAGAAGTCATTATCCTGCTCTACTCAGCGTTGGTCAGACCACACCCTGAGTACTGCGTTCAGTTTTGGTCCCTGCTATACAAAAAAGAAGTGGACAAGCTGGAAAGGGTCCAGAAAAGGGCCAGGAAGATGATCAGAGGACTGGAAGACCTGGCATATGGGGAAAGGCTGAGAAAACTGGGTTTGTTCAGCCTTGAGAAGAGAAGTCTTAGGGTAGACCTTATTGCCGTGTTCCAGTACATAAAGGGTAACTGCCAAGAAGATGGAGACTCCCTTTTTACAAGGATATGGAAAAGACAAGGGTTAATGGATACAAGTTACTCCTGGGGAGATTCCGATTGGATTCCAGAAGAAACTTTTTCACCATGAGGACAATTAGACATTGGAATAATCCCAAGGGAAGTGGTGGATTCCCCTACATTGGACAGTTTTAAGACTGAGCTTGGCTGGGTGCTGGACCATATAATTTAAACTATATTTTTACCTTTAAAGGTTGGACTAGATGATCCTTGAGGTCCTTTCCAACCTGGTATTCTATGATAACCTGAATTATTATGTGGTTTTCTGATCTTCTAGTGTTGTAATATGTAATGCTTTTCTATACAGCCTTCAGAATCAGATGTGTCCATGAACATTAAATTTGGTATGTCTTAGGGTATACAGGCATTGTTTAAAAACACAACGCTTCACAAAATTTAGTATCACAGTCTTTATATTGAATTTCCTTGTGCAGCTGTGGTTCATTGCACAAGCGGTCAGGACAGGCTGAAGAAGAGAGACATAAATATAGGATGAGAAGGCTCTGGCAGGCAATAGCTTGAAGAGGCTGAGCTTTGCCTGCTAGCCAGTTTTGTTAGCTCTTCTGACAACAAAAGCACCACCACCACCAGCTATGGAAGATGTACTATTTTTAGAACATAGTCTCCTTTGAGGAGACACAAGTGTGACCCTTACATAAGGCTACACGGTGTAGATTTCTGCAAGAAATTATTTAAAAATCACCTGCACTTTCATATGTTTATCAAAGCTGGCAGAGTTCCACAGAGCAAAAGATGTGCCATTTTCTTAATCTCTTGCTAGTTTTCAAACCAACTTGAATTTTCATTTGACCTTATAGACAGGAGAAAGTAATGATGACAATGTAAGCAACTATGCTATCGGAATGGGTCCAGCTCGCTTTCAGCTACAATACATGGATTATTACTTGCTCAGAGAAGAGAGAAATGATCCAGATCCCCGAGTGCAACATTTCATACCAGACACACAGCAGGTAATGAGACACAAACTTTTTGCATAAAGTGAACATTTCAGATATTTTACTTTTTAATTTTAATTTTTTTTTCATTTAAAAATACACATTATTATACTACTTTGTCAAAATAGTGTTGTTTAATTAATTTTGTAATAAGTTTAACAAATTCAGTAGATCACTTCAGACTGTATTCCGTGTTCTTTCTACGCTGAGAGCTCTTCTACAGAGGGTTTGGCCCAAGGAATGCAACATAACAGATGCTGAATCCATGGGATCTCACTGCTTGTTACCATATTTGAGAGTGGTAATGCCCTGTTTGGATAATCTCTGACTGTTCATCCTCTGCTCATTTCTTCCTAAAGAATTACCCATAGTATGAGTTGAGAAATAACTTTTCTGTCTAAACAGAGTAAGTCTAACTCAGATTTTTTCATTATTGGTCTGGGGAGGTCAACTGAATTTGCTGCTTTGCATGTCCGTATCTGCAAAACTTGCTTGAGAAACTACTTGGATCTTTGCATATGTGCTCACAGAGAAAGATAGTGTTAGTACTATTTCTGTTTCCTCTTCTGTGTCCCTTTCCCCATCCTTTCACAGACCTATGTAAGGTGAGAGAGCATGGAGGACATGTTAATAGGGAAGGAAAGAGATTAATAACCACTGTATGCTAAGAGCAGAAAAGAGTTTTGGACAGTATTGATGTAACTATTATAATGCAAGGAAGTTTTTGGAGCTAGATTATACACTGCTGACTTAACTGGTTTTATTTTTTAACTTGAAAATGTCCAGGTTTGGACTCAGAATGTTCTGGTATCAGTATCTCAGATCAAATAACTGACATAGATAAGTTATAACTTGTAGTTCTGTTTTTTTCCCACTAACAGTTTAAGAGAAAATAATGCAATCATAAAATGACTAAGTTAACTCTGACTTTCTGTAGTCCAAAATCTGTATATAAAGTCTATGTGCAAAAATAAGAGATGTTCTCACAGAAAGAGCTGATTTACTCAATAAGAACTTCATAACAAGACATTTTGACGTAAGTAGCTGCTTTTCTCTTAGCGAGAACTTCTTGATGCTGTAGATAATAATGAGTCTGCGGTGATTGTTGCTCCCACTTCCTCAGGAAAAACATATGCGTCATATTATTGCATGGAAAAAGTTCTGAAAACAAGCAATGAAGTAGTAGTTGTGTACGTTGCTCCTACAAAAGTAAGGCTGCATCCTACTGCGTATTCTGTATATATGACTATAGTATCTCTCAGTATGGTTCTGAAACTGTTTGGGGTAACTTGTTAAAAATTTAGTTGATTTTTTTTTTTTTTTTTTTTAATTAGAAATGTAATCTTTACGTTCTGTTTTACATTTATTAGAAACAGCATGTTTACAAAAAATCTTCAAGATATTTGAGCTCATGTAGAGTTTTTCTCTGTTAATATCCGTATAGCTAACTTAAGGTCAGAAACACTAATATATATAGAAGTGCCATAAGTAATGTGTTAGGTAAATGATGACAGTACAAAAAGCCTCCCAACATGGTGAAAGTAATTAGAACAGAACAATGACCAAGCGAGTCAAGTTGTATTTTCTAATTTAGCTCACCATCGGATGTTTCAAGAGAAAATTTATGAAACTCTAGGCAGTGGGATATTTTTTAATGAGACTTCTATCCTAATAGTTAAAAAGTGACTTAAGTGCTGAGGGACAATGTTTTGCTTTCTTCCAAAACTTATTTTGATGTTCAGTGATAAAGTTTTTAGATAGTGAATTACAGGGACTGTTATTCAACAACAATCTCTGTGGATTGTTTTCTATAAGTAGAATAAATTTTTTTGTGGTTGTGCTCAGGTTGGGCATCAAAATAATCTTTTCATTTGAATATCAGTCTGGGTGCAGAAATGTATTTTATATCTACAACCCCAGGACTTTGAGATCATCAGAGTGCTTGTAGATGCAGTAGAATGTCCTCACTTTACACAACACTAAATTTCTTTGAAAGCATTTGAGTATAATTGAAAATCAAGTACCATATCTTTTTGAAGTTAACATTGTTGACAGTCTAGACTTAATAGTATACTACATAGTGCATTATAGTCTAATACATTAATATCAGTGCCAAAATGGAATGCTTTTATATGTCTCAGAATATGTCCGACAGACATACACTGTCTAGTTTTGTTAATGACCTGCTTTATTTGAGGCCCTTGTGAACCAAGTGGTGGGAACTATATACAGTCGATTCACCAAGAAACTTCCAGATGGATTGGTAATGTGTGGAGTCTTCACACGAGACTATCGTCATGATGTCATGAATTCTCAGGTATATTTTTATGTGTGCTTTAACACATAATAATAATGACTTCTGTATCGCATCTGGCCTCTGAAAATGTTAATTATAACAATTGTGCCATTACTAAAAAAATCTAAGTGTATCTGTACTGCTTACCAGAAGCTTTCAGTCTATGGCGTACAATCTTAGCTATTTGTCTTTAAGGGACATGCAGTTGACTACTTGCTCTGATTAAAAGAAAAAGACATTAAAATCCTTTTGTTGCCAGCATACAGCAGATGCCTTACAGAAGTCCAGATGGAATACATCAGTAGCTCTTCCCTTGTCCACTGATGCAGTCACTCCATCACAGAAGGCCACTAGGTTGGTCTCTCTTGTAGTGGGGAGTCCAGAACTGGACACAGGACTCCAGGTGTGGCCTTATCAGTGCTGAGTACTTAGTGGAAGGAACCCGTGCCTTGATTTGTTGGCAGCATTCCTCCTAATACAGCCCAGGATACCATTAGCCTTCTTTGCCACAAGGCCACATTGCTGCCTTATGTTCAACTTTGTGTCCGCCAGGACCCTCAGGTCCTTTTCTGCAGAGCTGCATCCCAGCTGGATGGCCCGCAGTGTACACTGGTGCATGGAGTTGTTCCTCCCCGGGTACAGGAGTTTGTTTTTTCTGAACTTCATGAGCTTCCTGTCAGCCCATTTATCCAGCCTGTCAGCATCCCCCTGGATGGCAGGACAACCTGCTGGTGTATCAGCCACTCTTCCTAGTTTGGTGTCATCAGCGAACCTGCTGAGGGTACAATTTTCCCCATCATCCAGATTGTTAAGGAAGATGTTAAGCATGATCAGACCCACTATTGACCCCCGGGGTACACCACTAGTTAACTGGCCTTCAGCTAGACTTTGTACCACTAATCACCAACCTCTGGGCCCAGCCTTCCAACTGGTTTTCGGTCCAGCTCACTGCTGCTTATCTGGCCCATACTTTGACAGCCTCTCTGTGAGGATCTTATGAAGACAATATCAACTGCTCTCCCCTTGTCTACCAAGCCAGTCATTTCATCATAGAAGTTGGTCGAAGTCGGTCAGGCATTACTTCCCCTTGGTGAATTAATGCTGAATACTCCTGTTGACTTTCTTGTTCTTCATGTGCTTGGAAATGATTTCCAGGATTAGTTACTCCATCACCTTCCTGGGGATCGAGATGAGGCTGACCAGCCTGTAGTTTCCTGGGACCTCTTTCTTGCCCTTCTTGAAGACAGCAGTGACAAATCATTCATTCGTTCTTGAAATACATCTATATTTTTAAATGCTTTTTAAATATAGAATCTACTTGTTGATTAGTCAGTTTACTTGAAAATAATGCTTTAGAAACCTTTCTTCTTAGATACTAGTGACTATGCCTCAATGTTTAGAAATCTTGATGCTGTCTCCTCGTTGCCAGAAATGGACCAAACGGATACAATATGTTATACTCGATGAGGTAGGCATCTTTTAACAGTAACCAATTTAACAAATACATGAAAAATGTTGAGGAAAAATGCTGGTGACTCAGTTTTTCATTACATATGTTATTGCTGGAAAAAAACAACTTTCAGAAATATTATTTAAGACTTGCTTTTTTCCTGTTTGCTGATACTGTTTATGTACTCCATTGAAAGAACTTAAAACTCTTGTTAGTTCTCAAGAGGACATGCAGTTCAGTCAAAGCTTCCAGGAACTTCAGTTATTTCTCTCAAGCCAGTCAAATGAAAAACTAAAAGCCACCACTGTAGTTTTGGTGGCACAAATAGAGCATTCCAGACTGGGATCATAAACATTGCACATCATATGGTATTTATCAGTCTTTCTGGGGAAAAACTCAATGATTAGTCTTGCTAAATTTAAAATTCCTACTGTATTCTTTCTTGTATATAGAATTAATTGCTAAAGATGCCACTGAGTATCTAGGGTATTGAAATTTACACTAATTTGCTCTCCAGTGAAGTCTGGAGAGGGATTTACTGGACATGATTTGGATGTCGTGGTCATTTGCTACAACATAAGAATTATTCAGCACTGATCTTTCCAAACTTTTGATTTTTTCAAAACGCAAAACAGCTCCTCTAGTGGGTGCACTTTCATAAGGAACATTTCTCCTTTTCTTTGAATGCTTTTTCCCAAAAATATAGGTCCATTGTCTTGGCAGTGAAATTGGAGTAGAGGTTTGGGAGCATCTTCTGATAACAATTCGATGTCCATTTTTGGCGCTCTCTGCTACTGTCTGTAACCCAGAACACCTGAGTACGTGCGGAATTTTCTTGCTCACAAGAGCATATTTAAATTGGATATGAACTGTTTTAGAAAGAGACATCAATTACTATTGGGGGGCAACTGATTTGGAGTTATATTGTTATGCTACCCTTACTCCCCCAGTTGACAAAAAGTGATACTGTAACTCTTAACTCTCTGTTGAGAACAGGAACTACTATTCCTTCAGATCCTATAATTGAGCTGTGCAATGTAGGAGGCTTTTACATCTATTGGAATTGCCAAAGCCTGATAAGCATGCTTGTCCATCATCAATCAGAGAAGATACCTGCACTATATTTTTATATATAAAGGTGCTATTTCACATTTTTTATTTGTACTCTGAGATAAGCTGGAGAAAATAGCACTGAAGATGGTTAGAGAGGAACTGGAAATTCTATAGGACAAATTGAGCAGATTGTAGTAATTCATCTATTATAGCTGTAGCAATTTTCTTAAAATATCTTTTAGGACTCTTATTTTATTCTTGCACTGTAGCTGGTTACAATCTGTGAAAAGATATTGGCAACGTGCTGAGCAAACAGTAGGAGGAAGCTCTACAAACTCGGAAAGAACTTTACAAGAAAATGTAAAGCGAAATCTAAAGTACCAGAACAAAAGAAAGCGTATCGTGTTAGACTAGGTGTGTATCGCAATATTTTGTAACTAAGAAATAAATTTTAGTGTTATTTCAGCAAAAACTTTAATCATGGTGTGTGAACTCAAGTGATGTTGTTTTCACTTTTCCTTTTAATAAAAACAAATCTTGCAGGCTTAAGTACTTGCTTTTTAAAACAACCAAGTGCCTCATGACTGCATTTTTCTCTCTTCACAGTCTTGTATGAAGAAAGATACAATGATTTGGAGAAGTACGTGTGTTCTCTAAAGGGCAGTGATTTTATCATTGAACATTGTCATCCGTGTGCTGCATTGACAGTCAATCATGTAAGCATAATACTGGTGTCAACATTGTTTAGAAACTGTTACATTTATGCAACAAGGATTCCATCAAAATGATCCTTTTATATTTCTTTTGATGAAACTCCTTGCAGATTGAGAACTATGGTATTCCTTCAGATCTTTCTTTGTCTCCACGAGAGAGCATCCAGCTTTATGACATAATGGTAAAAGTCTGGCAAGAGTGGCCAAGGGCACAGGTATGTATACACAGCTGTGGGCAAAATGTATCCAAATAAATAGATAACAAAGTACTGCAATGTTTTATATTAATGTTGTTTTCCAGGAGCTAGATCCTGAGGAATTTGTCTCTTTCAAGAATAAAGTAGTAATAAAAAAGGCAGATGTGAGAAAATATGAACAGGAACTGAAGAAAGAACTAAGCAAATGGATTGCGCTTGGCCAAAGGCAGAAGGTAACGGTTGTTATAGGCCACTTTCTTAAGATTGTGTACACCTTTAATATAATAATAATAGTTATATGTAATAATATATTTATGGGAGTTTCTCCTCCCATAATTATTATTTATTTGGTTTAACTGCTGCTGTACTTGAAAGATAAGCACTAATATTTGTGGTATTTCCATGAGCATTTTCAAGGTGAAATTTTCACAAACTTCTCTGGGAATCAGACTTCTGATACTGCTGTGAGATTTCAATTCCTCGTTGCTTTAGGTACCTCCTACAATTAGTGAGACTATTGTATCATTGCTTTGCTTTTTTAGTCCACCTCTTTTTTGCTGCTCATTTGAAATGTTCTGTCTAACTGCAGGCAATAATGTATGTTTCCATGTAAAAGATAGAAATTAAAACAAAGAGCAGAAAATCAAGTCCTTGATTGGAGGCCACCTATTCCTATATCAGCCACCTATTCCTATATCATAAAAAGGAATACGACGTGGTGGTGAATTGAAAACAAGTTAAAAATAAGGAATATTTTGGGGGAAACCAATATTTTTAAAATATTCACACTTAAATGTGAAAATATATCATAATCAGTATGTTAGTGACACTATTATTTGCACAGTGATGGTAGCCATGAATGCTACTACAATTTGCATTTTGAGCTCTTACTTAAGTCAGTGGATAACTTTGTAGACCTTTTAGTCTGTATACTATATATGGCTGTTGCAGTTAAGAATGATTTAAAAAATTTGATCCGATAGAAGCTGACACAAGAAAATTGAGTCTTAATATTTGTTAGCCTCCAGCTAGAAGTTTCTGCCATTAAAATCTCCACAATAATACTACTTTGGGCAGGTGAATGAGCTCCTGGAGCACCTTAAGCCAAAACCTGTGGATTGCTCAGAAAAGGAAAAGCGGAAGCATTTTGCAAGCTTTGTGGATAAATTACATGAGATGGATAAGTTGCCTGCCATACTTTTTATGTAAGTATTTACATTCCATGTAGTATATGTGTATTGCCTATATTCAGAAAAATGGTTATTGGAGATAAGCATTGATATGGCTTGGCAAATGCCATTTATATGGTATTTGTTACCTTTGCTTTAAAATATACAACGTAAAGGCCTACAAGTTCTATCAGCCCATATATCTTTATGGCACTAAAGCTTTAGCTGAAATAAAACTGGAAGCATTTAATTACTGTGTGGAAAGGGTAGAATTCACCCATGATGTCTGAGGAAATTACAAGAAACTGAATCACATTAAAATGAGAATCAGATTCTAGTTCCTTTGCTCCAGTGTAGTCAGTAAAATTAATGCATATTCATAGTTTGTGAAATTGATTGTATTAGGAAATTTAGGTTAATTCTTATTTTGTAAAGAAAAAAATGGTGACTTCAGACATGCTAAGAAAGAGATACAATTTCTATTTCACTTTTTATTTATAAGTATTATAGATTATACTGTATATGGTGGAAGTTTTGTACAGGAAAAGGATAATTTTAGTTGCTATTCTTTTATTATTTTGTAGAGGAAATAAAAAAAAAGGGACTTTTTTCTAAATGGAAAAAAATATATTAAGTGTAATTATTGAATAAAAGCGTTTTTATCTGATCATCAATGCATTTGCAGATCCTCAAATACCAGTGATAATTGAATTGCTTTCAGGGTCTTACAAAGGTTAGATTTTCAATATCTGAACAGGTTTAAGGTTGAAGTAACAATTAAAGCAGAACATTGCACCATTTGTTAAATCAACTAAGTTACTTATGCCAATAAATGATGTCCAATGACCAAAGCAATATGAAAAGACATGACTATAAAATTACCAAGCAATATGGATTGCCATTGGGTGAAAAATATTAACTACTACATAATCTCATGTTACTTCCTGGAAGAGACATATAAAAGCAATGTAATATACCACTATCCCCTTTCCTAGCTCCTCCAAAAATAACAGGCCTTCAAAAATACTATTTTTGCAGTAAGGAAGCAAATTAATTCTAGCAGATAACTTTTTTTCCTTTCTTCCTACGCTGGTACAGTGATCTTTTTTTTAGACTGCTGTGTACAAAAAGAAAAATTCCAAATCACCTTTCTAGATACCGTATCTTATCACCTACTTTGAGTTTCAAGTGTGGTGATAACTGGATCATAGAAAGCTTTGTATAAAATGGACATCAACTTAATATGAAGATGAGACTCTAGGGGAGATAAACAGATAAGGTAAATGCAAAAGAAGATTGAATACTCTCTGTGGCTTGCGATGTTAAATAGCAGTTTTCCATTTCCAGTACAGAGCACTAATAAAAAGACCTGCGTAATGGTATAAGATTAGCAACACTACAGTGAAATCCTGTTTTTCCATATGCATTTCAAGATTGCTTATTTTAACAATAGAGGGACCCCTCCCTAGGGTGACATAGGAAATGAAGAGATGTAAATCACAGAATGGTCGAGTTCATAGAATCATAGAATCATTTTGATTGGAAAAGACCTTTAAGATCATCAGGTCCAACCATTATTCTAACACTACCAAGCCCACCACTAAACCTTGTCCTTAAGCACCACATCTATATGTCTTTTGAACACCTCCAGGGATCCAAATTAGAAGAGCAAGGCATGGGCTGCCTTGCATTTTCAGGATATGTATTCCTTTATATATATATTAGTGTTAGTAATACTACTTTTATCCAGGATGTGAGATGTGGAAATTGAATTTTCTATTCTACTTGAATGGTAAAGTTTCTTGTTTAAATGGAAGATATATTATGGTTGCATTCTCCTCATTTTGCTGAATCTGTTTCACTTTGAAAGAGATGTTTTTCATTAGATTTACCAAAATAGAAGTGCAAGATCAAACCCTGTCCTGCAGTTCAAGAAGTGGCAGAGACTTTTGTACTTACCATAATCTGGGGCAAGGCTGCAAAAAAAATACTTTGTCAAACTGCTCAGATCATAACAGAAAGCAGAACAGGTTACTGAATAATGATTAAAAGTATCATTAATAATTTGGAAAGAAAGAATAAGCTTCTCTTTAAAAGAGGAAAATCAAAAGTATGAAAATTATTTAGAAATAACTAGACAGACCTTCTACAGACAGCATTTGAGGTTACAGGTGTAAGCCAAGTACATGCCATGCTGTTGTAAAACCAGAAATTCACATTGGGTTGCATAAAGCAGAGTGCTTTGTATGTGACAACCTTCACATACTTAAGTTGTAACAGGGCCTCAGTTAGAATATTCATTCTTCAGAGCTCCATGCTTCAAGAAAAATGTTGGCTGGGAGTCCAGAGGATAGCAATATTAGATATCTAGCTATTAAGACCTCTGAATAGAGGTTCAAAAAACCCTGGTTTTCTTCAACGTAGGACAGAATAAAAGATGAAGGTAAAATAAGTCTTGTAATAGTAATAGTCCCTTTGTTTTTGGCACAAGTTCACGCTGTTAGCAATTTTGGCTACAGATGAGTCAAGGAGAAAGGCTTAAGTTGTGAGGGGGGGGATTGAGCTGTAATTATACTCACCACTAGAAAGCTCTTTCTTACATCCTATAATCAATTGTGTAGAGGTTCTTTTGAACAAAAGAAACAAACATCTATCAAGGATTTAAGTTTAGAAGATTATTTCCTGTCATTATCTACTGAACTGAAAATTTCTCACTTTTAAAATAGATTGCTGAAAGGGAGCTTGCATAGCTGACATTGCATTTGAAACTTCTTGTCTAGATTTTACATCTAAGAATTGCCATGGCTCTGAACTAGCATCTCATTTGATGGACACCACCAAAAGCATATCTGCCATCTCGCCTTTTGCCTGTTTATCTGGAGTGGTTGATAACTACCTATTTCATGGGGAGATCATTAATAAAGTAAGTTATTTTTTCATGGCAGGCAGAATATTATTACAGTTTCATAAAAATAATTTTTTATTACAATCTTCTTGCCTCTATGTAATATGATGGCACTATGCTCAAGTGTCACTCTTTAGGAAACACAATTTGAAAGGTCTCAAAAAAAATCATCAGCACTGAGTAGCACCACATTATCACAGTGCAAGAAACACAGAATAGATGGATGTAGGAAAAAAAATATAAATAATTTGCTTTCTTGCAAGGTCTCTGTTCCTTTCGACTCTGAGACAAGTGAATTACTCTAAAATTTCGGATTAAAACCATATGCCCAGTTTGTTTTCTCCACATCAGGAGTCTGTTTTTTTTGTTGTTTGGTGGTGTGGTTTTTTTTTTTTTAAATCAATCACACAGTAGTTTCAGGGATCCTAGCAAAAGGCTGCATTATTGCATTGATCATTTGCTTCTCAACTAGGATTTCAGTGATTAGATTACGTTAGCATATCAATTAGCTTAATGGTAACATATATCAACATGTTTAGTGTCAGCTTGCATTTTCCTATGGTCTTCTCCAGGGGCTTTGTAGCATTAGGGAATTATCACATGACTCATAACTCTGTAAGAGAAAAAAAATAAATTCCTACACTGGGGATTTGAAATTCACCTTCATCCTTAAAATGTTCTATGCTTAAAGTTGGGTAATACATTCAGAGCACCAGTGAGAGAGTCTGAAGACATGATCTATGCACATGGAAAAATGTTCATCTAAAACTCAAGAGAAATCCCGTGGCCTAGTCAAACTTTAAATTACTCCAAACGTCCCAGAGCAGCACTGGCAGTGTAGGTCACTGTACTACAAACTCTCTCCTGTGTCTACAGCCTACATGCACTTGTGCAGATTTTTTAAGTTGTCCAGGATTAGAAGCGTGGAACTTTCCAGCTGTGGCTCTAAAAGTGTAGGTTTGACAAAATAAACATATAAACAAAATCACAGTAGCTATTCAACAGGTTTTAATTTTTTTTTAGGCTGTCTTACGTTCCCTTGGAATTAATGTCAAAAACTGCCCCCTGCTTTATTTGAACAGGTATGATAATCGGGGAAGGAGAAGGCTGCTCAATGCATATGCACTGGACTTCTATAAGCATGGTTCCTTGATTGCATTGACAACAGATAACTGGTATGTACTACCATTTTTAATAGGGTACGTAAGTACATCTTTTTGTTTTTAAAGCGTTCTCCCTCCAGAACTTAGGGATGGAACAGCTGTTAAATATGATTAGACTAGTTGAATATTTTAATGAGAATAAAACATATACTACATTAAAGTCCAATGGCAATGGCTGTAAAGTATTAAGCCAGGTATTCAACACAAGTACTGTAAATGGGAAGTGTTGACTTCAGTGACAAACGTAATTTTGACAAGCTCTTCAGAAGTTGGTTTTTTTATTTCATCAAGGTTAGAGGAGGAGTTCATGACCAGTGTTAAAAGATACCAGCATCCAAAACATAAAGTCTTTTCTGGTAAAGGAAGACTGTCATCATAGAAACCTGACTTCACAGTAGCAAAGCAAAATTTGCCAGTAATTCAGTATTTGTATTGATTTTGCTTCAATACTTCCCCTTTTCCTCATCTTTTCTACGCATTTAGCAACTTGTCCTGATAATTCAATCATACTGTCATCTCTCTTTAATGGAAAAAAAACCAACCATCCACCAAAAACTCTGTGCCCAAGCTGGTTGACCACAGTAATCTCTCATATTTTCATGTTTAAGCCCGTGGTACGCAGTCTTCCTCTCTTCTTTCTTCCTGGATTGCTTTTGCTCTAGATTTTCCAAAAGTGGAGTTTTAGGCTATTGTTTTACACTCTCTTGCCTATATGTTTTAACACTGATCATGAATTTCTCCTTTAATCTGTTTCTGTCTTTATTATTTGACCAAGCTTTTGACATCTCTGGTACCATGTTACCATCTTCTAGACTGCTGCATTGTACTTCCTCATTTCAGGGACTTTCCTGATCTTTTTAACTGTGAAAAAAACCTTGATTAAATAAACAAACTTTTGAAGAGCCTGTCAAGCTGTTACACTTGATGGATAGAGCTCCAAACAAATAATCTCTAACACACCTTCCCAATTAAACAATTTATAAACTGCATCACTCTTCTGCTTCTTTTTATCAGAAGCTGTTTGAGATTTTCTTTCTTTTGCTCTTACTTTCTGTTTACAGCCCTCTCATCCTCTTCAGTCCTTTAGAGATGCACCTGCTAAATGTGATGTCTTGTCATTTTCATTATTATCACTTCTGCCTTTGAATCTCACTGTCCTTCTGTAACATTGTTCATTAAATCCATCTCTTTTAAAGCTTCTGGCTTTCAGTTCTTAATGAAGCCATTCACGTATCTCTTTTATTCCCAACCTCAGCTCAAAAATCCTCAACCCCATCTCCCAACTACTCTGCCAAGTATCTTTATTTTGCCTTCATGCTCATAGCCAGTAACTTTTTATGAGTAGGAAAATACCACCTCAGTTTGCTCCCTGAGGGTGCTATTTGGAGCATATAATATTATCTGCTTTTTTGGTAAGCTCTTCAAAGCACATTCTAGTAAGAACAGATAGAATATAGCTTCCACGCACTATGGTGGTTACACTAACTGAGTCTGGCACTAATGCCACATTCCCAAGAGATGAGGAAATAGACTGATTATAGAATCACATTTTTTGATTCCATGTGTGTCCCTGCCCATGGCAGGGCATTGGACGGGGTTGGAACCAGGTGATCTTTAAGGTCCCTCCCAACCCAAACTATTCTATAATTATTTTTTTTTTTTGGAAGTGTGACAGTGTTAATTACTAAGAACGGAGTTTATTATGTTGCTTTTCTGTAATAACGATCCTTTTCGCAAAATATAGGGTCTTCATCGTCTGCAGAAAGCTTGCACTATTCTCCTGCTCAGTTTAGCCAGCAGATTCATCTGTAGTAGTGTTCCAGTTTAGCTTGTGATAGGTTAGTTGTTCAAACAGTTGAAAGCATGTTCCCAAGACAGTATTAATAAATTATCTTTCCAAATATTACTCATGAGTCTTTTATATTTTTAGTATAATTACAGAAGTGTGTCTCTACAGCATTATTAATGATTGCAAGCTTATGGTTATTCTACAGTAACCCTTATGAACTAGTATGTCAGTGGTTGAGGCCACGGCATATGCTTTCTGCATCCTTACCCAGCCTACATAGCAGAGTTTAGTAAAGGTGAAATAGTATGTTATAGTGCATATCCATTTGAATTTTTTTATTTTCTTTAGGTTAAATGAAGGAGATGCTTACTACGCACTCAAGGATTTTTCACTCCTCATTAAGTCTATTGGGTATGATAAACTTGTGCTTTGTAATATACGTAATACATTTCTAATATACATAAAGATGAAATATATATTTAATCTTTAAAGCAACTTAAAATGACACAATGCTTTTTTTTAAAAAAAAGCAACAACAACCCAGAGTATCACTGAGTGAACTGTGTGATGATCTGAATGATAATGTTCTACTGGCATTTCAACAACTGGGCAAAATCTATGAAGAGAAACTGAAGTGTATTACCTGAAGAAAAAAAAAAAAGCAGCAGTGCATAATACTCTTGCCACACAGATCAGCTGCCTTTTAAGTTAGGAAATGACTAGGTCTGAGTTATCAAATATGTTTCATAACAAAGCTTTAGTAATATCCAGTATCGGTAACACAAAATTTACTTTAGAAAATTAACCTTTACAAAGGCATTTTAGCAGCTCCCATGTCAACTAAATAATTGTTTCTAATAGATTGCAAAACGATGTAATTGTGCATGTCCTTCAGTTGCACATTTTTTTTCCAGGCAGCGATCTGTATGTTAAAGACAGCTCTCAAATGTACTGAACCAATGGCACAAGTTCTGACAGCTGGTGAGACTAGCCACTCAGTTGGACAGCGCTGGAAATTTTCAACCCATGGGTGAAGGATATTCAGCAATTACAATAAAATAAACTCTTCTAATTATTTTCCAAGGTTTCTATTATTTTATGAAGTTGTGCCTTCATGTACTATTATAAAAGTTTTTAAACCAGTCTGCAGTTTTAGTCTACAAAATTTTAAGTATGAAGAGGAATGTATAGCAGTACAATGAAGTTTGATTAATAAAGTGTTGCAGCAATATGTAGAATTGCTTCATTTTTCACTTCTTGTAGCCTTAAGAGTAAGAAAGATGCAGGATACCTGAAGCACGCTTGTCAAAGAGTCCCTTGCAATACAAATTATTGAGTTTAGTAAAATACATTTCCTAACTATTTTCTCGGTTTTGGCTGGGAAGAGCAAAGTTTGCAGCAGTATTTTCATACTATTCCTGAAAATTCTACAGCTTAATGCTACATTTTAGCCTACTTGTAGTATGAAAAAAAAAAATAATATATACACACATGCTAATGTTTAGATGACCTAGGAAAATCAGGCTTTGACAACAGTTCTCATTGCCACACACAGTTTTATAATGATGACTAAGATAGTGATGTAAGTTATTCTCTATTGATAATAAGCAAAACTTGCTTTAAGGACAATTCGGAGTCCCATTTCTTCAAATTAGCCCTGGTGTTCACCAGATGATCACTGATGAAGTCTTTGTCTTGAAATCTCTTCAGGCCGCACTAAACTACATGCAACACGTTGCTAGGAGATATTAAGGGGCAAGCCTGTATGTGGTCAGGCAGCGCTGCTGAGCTAGCATCAACTGACTTAACACTCTTCCTTCCAGTTTTTTCATCTGTGAAACAAAATTGTGACAGAAAGGAACACAGTGGTAGAAAAGACTGCTCCAACTCTGCTTGGTAGATAAAATTTACTCAAATTATCCTTCACTGTCAGACAAGTCATGCCATATGTAGGTAAATCTTGCACAACTGGTTCCTCAACTTAGGGTAGAAGGGACCTTACATAGACCTTTACCATGTTCATGTTTCCTGACAGAAATTGAGTAATCTTTTTAGCTAACACACAATTAATTGACCAAGGAAAAAAGTCAGAAATCGGTCCTGTGGTATTCGGAGTCATTTGACCAGTAAGCATGAAATCCTTGGTGAAAACCAAACTTACTAGGTCTATCACAGGGTACTAATTTTCTATGCTGAAGATTGTAATGTCTCTTAAAGCCTTAGTGACAGTAGCCAACATTTCACTCTTAATAACATATATAAAAACCACCTCACTCCTGTTACAGCTTTTAGTGAGCAGTCAATAGTGAAAGATGACCAAGTGATTAAGTCAAAATGGCCATGGAATCAACTTGTGACAATATCAGGAAATTGCCAATTCTGCTGACTTAATATCTGGATGGACTGTAATTTTACTGTGACCTATTGTAAATAAAATATCCTGCTTACCATCGATCTCCCCTGTAAAACCTTAATGCTGACCTATTATGCACTTAGACAACAACTTGCCCTGCTTGAAAAGCAGTCCTAGGACCGTACTGAACCCATACACAAACAATTTCTGCTTTCAAAAACAGTGTATCGTAGTCTATTTCCTTTATGATTCCATAATGGTGTCTTTTCACTAAAAGATCTGTTTTGAAGTTTAACTTTATCAAAGTTTCATGAAACACTATAATAGAAATGAGCAGAAGACAAATTGAAAATGAGCAATTTTAAGAAACTCAGCAGGGTTTACGAATAACCCTAAATCCTTAGGATTTTTTGTCACCGTAGCTGAAAGCAAACCTTTTCTACAACCTTCTGCCAACAAGTTTTATAGATGCCTTATCTGTGTCTCTAAAATTGTTCCATTTCTCTTGCTTTCATTATAGCGAGACCAACCTCCATCCATGACATGCTCTGCCATTATCATCACACTCAGCCTTTGTCTTTCAGCAATTTACCAATAACTTTTTAACACTTCTCTCCTACACATGCAGAAGACTATGACAAGAATGTCTGGAGATAAAAGCAGAACAATGCAGTAAGACTTAAAAGATGAACCTAATGAACTATAAAACTAACAATAAAGAGAATTTTCACCACCTTCCTTAATATAATGCAAATGCAAAGGGAAGGTTAGTAAGTTTTACAAATTCTAGAAACTATTTTTGACCACATTTAAGAGAAGAATGCACTGCCACAGAGAAACAGGCCTAGAATTTAACTCAAATCAAATTAAAATTAGGTCAATGTTTTCTAACCCAAGCCTAGTATTTCTGAGTATTCAGTTACGGTAAGTATATTGCTAAGCCTTGCAAAGATTTAAATTTAGGTAATATTTCTCTTATGAAGTTACAAAGATAATTTGGATAATTTTTTTTTTCTTAAGAAAGATGACTATCTGGTTGCCAGTGAACAATTCTAAAGGAATATTCAACATTCTGCATTCTGATCTACTACTTGCCAGTTGACACACCTACCTAATGCAGGATTAATTTATTTAAAATCTGATACCAGCTCCCAGAGAATGAACTCTAAATGAAATAGCACTTTAATCTTTAATAGTGTTACCATCTGCATATTCTAATAGCTAAAGCACAATTATCTCTTGGATGCAACAAAATGGTTAATAAATTAGAAAAGATGGTATTTTTGTCCTCACTTTGTAACATATTTCAGAGACTAAAAATTCAGTGAGTTCTGGATCACTAGTACTTACAGTGAGAAGTGCTATTTTCCTTTTTTCCTCTTTACACAAATTTTAAAAGGAGATTTTTGGTGGTTTTTTAAAGCTAGATTCTCCTAAAACTTTCATCAAAACAGCAAGTTAACACCTGTCCACTGATTCCCGAACCGTTGCCAAAAGGAACTAAAATGAGTTGCGATTGTTGCTTTTCATAAAGGCAGCATTTCAGAAGCAAAGCTGATGCCCTTCTGCAACGTATAACGAGACCACTGATGTGGTGTTTCAATTTCAGAAGCCTGAGAGAAATGACTGAAACTACATTAGAAGTTGCACCTTCAGTACACATTAAATACACCCTAGAAAAAGAAAACAGCCAAAGGGAGATAGGCAAAACAACTGCTAGTACTGCCCTTCAACAGCCTTTGCTGTCCCCATGGCTCTCCTCCCCTCCCTGCCTACGAGGCGAACGCTGTTGGCTGTACTCTCTTACTGATTCAACCCCAGTGTGAGTGCTGCAGTGCCGAAACATCAATATACAGCTTCCTGCTGCTAAGGCTTTGCTGAACCCACTTCCTGGGACACCTCGGTCCCTACCACCTACACACCCCCCAGGGACACGTCTCAGGAGGTCTGCATGCTTAAAGATACAGCATATACGGTCATACTTGAGTCTTTAACAAGACATGGTTTTTTAGTTGTGTCTTCAGTTTGGGTTGGTACTGTAACAATCACTTTAGTGCATTGTACTTGCTGATAAGCACTTGTGTTTCTAACACACGGACACCTCAATTGGCAAGAATCAGGGAGAATAATAGCTGTAAAATCACAGGTATCCCCACTTTTTAACATGTTAAGTAACATTTATTGAATTCCAGATTATTTAAGTATAGTTATCCTCCATTTCACTCCCTATTTATGTCTCCGATCTTCTTCTAATAGATACTTTGTCTTCTGCAACAGAAAAATATTCTGATGCACTGCTTGTATCAGTAGAGACAATGTTTGACTTAGCTCTTCAGTGTCAGAATCGCTGTCGCTTGGTATTCCTCCTGCCTCGTTTCCTGTAAGCACAGAACCTCCTGAAGATGGATCATTGCACTTGCCAGGAACAGAACAAGCTGCATTCTGAAACTGTTCATCTTCCCTCCTAGGACAGCAAGAGTTGTTTTCAGCAACAGTTTCACTTTCTTCATCTTTTACCTTTATTTCTTGTTTTGTTGCCGTAGTAAGTTGAGTGGAAGATGCATTCTCATATTTAACAGGAAGGACAATTGAACATAAAGGCTGACTACAAGAAGAATTACTATTGGCAAGTGTTTTTGCACTTTCAGTTTTCTTAGGTGAGTTCAAAGGAAAGAATGGCAATTCACATTTTGGATGACTATGTCTAGAAGCAGGCTCAGCACACTCTGAAAATACAGGTTTCCCTAGATTTAGAGGCGTTTTGTCAGGAGATTTCATTTCCTCTGTTTTTTCAGTACTGTTTCGAGACAAAAACATGGAGGAAGTCAGCGAATCAGGGGTATTTCTGACAGGACTTCCAAATGAAAATACTGGTGAAGGCAACTGAAAAGAGTTATTTCTGAAGGAAAAGACACAATTACTGGGGAGAAGGGGGGACTCTGAGACATCATTCACCCCAGCTGCAGTGTTGGTAGCCTGCAGTACTTCAGAAACAGTTGCGAAGGATTCTGAGGCATTGGGGTTTTGTTCCCATGAGACAGATGGTTTCTCTGTATCATGTTCTGCAGTTTCCTTTGCAGAAAGTGTTTTTTCTCTCATGTGAGATGACATATTTTTGTCAGATGGCTTCTCCGATTGGCTAAAAAATGAGGATAATGGTAAAGCCTTAAATGAATTGCTGACTCCTGATTCTGCAAAACAACCCCTTTCTGAATTGCCAAAGGGAAATGAAAAATCTCGCTTATCACTTTCTGCCGAGTCTAAATTAGGACTGGTTGAAGCATCGGAAACTGTTGTTTCGGTTACAGGACCATGTTTTCTAAATTTGCTTTCATCCTGGTTATCAGTTTTATCCACACGAGCACATTTTCCTAGATAAAACTGAGGGAAAACATATTTCTTGTCTTTCTTTTTAAAGGAAAACATACCTGCATCTTTAATAAATCTGGGTAATGTGTTGTTACATGCACTGAAAGCAAAAGGTGAAGCAGAGAGTCTTTCTGCAGAACCATCTAGAAGTTTTGAATCTGAAACAGCTACTGATGCTCCTGGTTTTAAGCTGGATGAAGTGCTAGAATTTGTGTCTGTTTCGCTGGAAACAATAACTGTCGATGCTTGCACTGGCAATTTTTCTTTAATTACTAGGTCTTTACAGTTTTCCGATAAGGCTGGAGTGGTTACTTCCTGGGAACTTCTCTGATGAAATAATTTTAAGTCACAATTTGTTTCAAAAAAGTTCACATTTGTGGATGGGATGCTGCAATTACTGGTTCCAGAAAAGCTTCTCTCGTCAAATCCATCTCCTCTTTGCAGGGTACCCGTTTTTACTTTAGTGTTATTTGCTTTGGTGGGTGAAGAAACAAAAGGAGTTCCTGAGGACCTATCCTTCAAAGCCTCGGCAGTTACAAATTTATACTTTTTATTTGCAGGTAAAGTTTGTATCTTGAACTCATCTGAGAGCTTCTGACGTTCCATATAGTATTTGTAACGTAACTCCTACAATTACAGCAAAGAACCCCATTAAATAAAATGGCATTTGTGGATTCAGAGGTTATAAAACTCACATACAGTCCTAAGACTGAAGAAAAGTTTTTGTATATTCTATAGCATTTACGATGTATTTTTCCATTGCTGCTAGAAGGCAATGGAACACAAGTCATTATGGAAAAAAGTTCTTTAAAAACAATTGAACAAGATGCACATGGAACCCTGATGACAAAGTAGGTTTTGAAATAGGAGAATACAGAAAACTTTATTTAAAGTCAATGTCAAAACCAGATATAACTAAAAATAGTAGCTTTTACATTAAGTGACAAACTCTCAAGTTGTTATGAAAATAACCATCTGAAACCAATTTAGGTGGTGGGGATTTTTTAGGTCATTTGGTTGTTTTTTATTACTAGATACAATAACTATATAAATTGTATTCTCAATGGGAATAGAAAACAGATGTTCCCCAAAATAAGAAAAAGAAAAATAATTCTACATTTACAGGACCTAAGCAACATTTTCATTTAATCATCTGCCATTGGTATTCTCAGAACATACATTATGTGATTCACTGCCAGCCATGCTTCACTAACTAGAATCATTCTGAACAGAACAATACTCACTCAGCCACTCACATGGAATTTCTAGTAAGTAAAAAAAACCTAGTTGTATAACTAGATCATTGGAAACAACACAAAAAAGACTGAATTCAGTTTCATGTCAAATTATCAGGAATTCAGGTAGTCTTAGAAAAGTGAGTTCTATTATCTTCAGAAAACAGAACACAGGCACATGACTTCCTCTTCAAACAGGCAATAGATAAGCTAATTTGGATTAGAAAGCTATAGGCATGACTCAAAGCCACACTTAAAGTACGTTTTTGAAGTCAATAGAAAGATTAAGTTCAGCTTTCTGAAGAAAAAAGAAAGTAAAATCCTGACAGCTTTAACAACCTGGTCAGATTTACATTCTTTAATTGGAAGGGTAACTATCTACTAAGAAAACTGAAAAAGGTTATAAAAGCTTATTTAGAAAGTTGTGTCATAACAAACAGTAACTTAGCCATACTTACAATGGATGGTCAATCATACCTCATGACTCATGTTCTGAAACGCTGACATTTCTGATATTGACATTAAGCGAGTACAGATCCTGCTACCATCTGCTAGCGCCTCCTCCTGTCCTGCTACAGGCTGAAAAATGTTTTGCAGCAGACATTATAGTTCATTTTGATAAGACAAAATAAACAAAATAGCAGAGTGTTGTAGCCCCATCGTCAATAACTTACAAGAAACGTGTTGGGTATATTCTTCTGGTCCTGCCATTGCTTTATGTTATTTTTAAATAGAGTATTTTTTGTTGAGTTCTCATTTCCTCCAGAAGGTAGATCTATTAGAAAGAATACAAGAATACTGCTGGAGAGCATACTAAGTATGGAAAATCCTGAAAGGTTCCTGTGCATCTAAACACAGATGCAAGAACAAAAGTATATTGCCCTAAGTGAAACTGCAGTACTTGCCAAAACTTGTGTGATACAAAGCAGAGCCCTGTATAAGCAGAGCCCTGTATAAGAAGTTTCCTAAATGCCTGCCTGACACAAAACCTAACATTTTCTGCTATGAGGTAAAAGCATTTAATCAGTGTGTAGTTAACATTCATATTGCACTACAACAAATGCCCATCTAGTTTAGCAACGCACTTCTGACAGTGGTTGTACAGAAAAAGTATCTCCTCCCACACAGTTCCAATAATACAGCCTAGGGAGTTTCACGAGCACATTCACAAAATGCATTTAAAAGCCCTTGATGAATTTATCATCCATTAATTTGTTCAGATGCTTTCTGAACACTTGCATTCTTCTGTCATGCAGACTCTTTATCAGCAATTAGTTCCACAGGTTGCAGGTTCCTAGAGTGACTTCCTGAGTTCTGTCCTATATTAAGTCCTTCTTCCCTACCTTTAACGATGCCTACATTAACGGGCATTAACTTCAAAGCCAAGATTTCATTAACCACAGGTTTGATATCCATCTTCTTTTGGGTATACTCTGGTGGTTTTTCATAGCTGGATGCTATATTCATCAGGTCAAGCTGGGTTTTCATTCTGGAAAAGGAAAAGACACCCAAACACTTTCCTTAAGGCTCATGTGCTAACAACTAAATTGTACATGCCCAATACCAAAAAAATTTAAGAAGAAATCACTAAGAGGGAGAAGAAATCAGAAAAATTAAGTCTTCAATAAAATATCAAGTTTCCTGATTTTTTTTTCTTGGAACTTACTACTTAACAATTATACACAACAAAAATTGCAAGAAGTAGTGCCCGTCGTTCAGCAAAAAGATAAAACACCCTCACTTCTCTTAGTGTACTATACCT